TGATAAGTAAATATTTTGTCAAATATAATGTTATTTTAATCATGACCAATAGTAATTTTCTATCAAATTATAATTTTCTGATTCTAAAGACCTCTTGAAGATTTACTTCAACATTAAAAACATTAAACTATAAATAGTGGTGCTTCAAATGAATATTTAGCACATGTCTAGATAGTCTACAATTTTTCAATTGTGTAGACATGCGATTTAGTAAAGGGAATATCAGTCCTTTATATTTTTTGTTTACCAATTCTGCAGATAAATATGATAGTAATAGAGAATAATTTTAGGTTTTTTTTTTTATATAAAATTTAATTTGTCAGAATCATTGTTAAAATGTTGCTGAAAGTTGGCAAAGGAAAATAGTGTCTAAGCATTCTTGTGTTTATTTTCATGACCTTTGAGTAACCTACCCTGCTCGACCACTGGGCTATCAAGGCCTACTTATTAATAGACTCTGGAACAGCATACACTCACTACTATATTGCTACTAATTTGATTGAAAATTGAAAAGTGCTTTAAAAATTAACACTTGCTCCAGCAAACAAGGCAAATCTAAAAAGAACTAAAAAGTTCTCTGTCAGTTGCCATTTTGAAGATTTTACAGTTTTTTGTAGCTACATATTTCCAATTTGACTTTTATATACTTGTCTCCTTCATGGTCTCAAACTTGTCTGTGTCCTCTTTATCAAGCTGTCTGCGAAGCTGCCTCAATCAAATCGATAGCCGTCAAGCATTGCTGGAAAACTTCATGGAAAAAGTCATAAAATTTAATTAGAAACACATTTTCAATGCGCAGACGGGCTCTTGAACTTCGCGAACAGATAAAAGTTAAATACAAATTTTTTATTGTTTTATGGCAGAACAATAAAATCAAACCAACGAAAAACAATACATATAAAAAATAGAACAGAGGAGAAAACAGAAAAGAGAGAAGCGAAGGCGAAGGCGAACAAACAGGCATAAAGGACAAGGAAATGTGCGATTGCCTGGCCATAGACAATAGAAGGGAGGCTGCCAGTGTCTAGGGAACAATTTCCTCGGGCAATGGCAGCAGGTGCGAATGAAAGACGCTTTGGCATGGCAGCAGGCAGCAGGCGTCGTCTTGGAGCGAGAAAATCAATCGTGCAGCAAAATCAAAAAGGATATTTTCCACTCGCTGACAGTGCTCGTTTTATTTAACAGCAAATTTGGCGCAGCGCGTTGAAATGTGGGCGTTGGACGCCAGCTGCCACGCCCCACGCCCCACGCCCCACAGTCCACAGCACACAACCCACCTCCCACATCGGTTTTACGTGCAGCCGGCGGTAAAATCTATATAAAAACCGTGAGCACGTTTATCAAAGTCAGCTCAGCAGAGTAGGGTGAAGAAAAAATACGGTGTGAATATTTGAGGTCGAATTAGAAATACACTTATCTTACATTTGATTGATCAACTTATGTGCTATATAGTGTGTGTATTAACTACGTAGACAAGTTGATAGTTTTTTTGTTTTGATAGCAGAAAGAGTCGCTTCAGGGTTTCAGTTTCTTTTTTAATGAATTATTTATTGCTGGAAATCGGCCTGCATCATTGGCCATAGTAGAACTCTCCCAGTATATACAAGTCTTATGGATTAGATGTAAGATTTTGTATTTATATTTGGTTGTTTTATGAAACGTTCTAGTTTCCAAGCACTTATGGCAGCATATGAGTAAGTATTTAAAAATGGCTTTGGAATAAAAAAGCAGTTGTTTTACTGACAATTTTGAGTATTGTTAATGTTATAAATAATATTATATATACTATATATATTCTTATATGCATGAATAGAGTTTTGTGCACTATAAATTGCTGGATCTGTTCCTGAATTTTCCTTAGCTGAGAAAATTGTCCGAAAGTTTATAATTCCACATTTTTAATGCAAAATTAACGCTGGTTTGCAACTTTAGTCCCTTTTTGACGATAATATCGAGCGGTTTATAACAACGACTTAAAATTAATTAAATCAACAAAAAGAAGCAAACCGTATCCATATAAGTAGTTAATAGTTTCGGAATTTCTTATTTTCTTATTTAGATATTTTATATTTTTATCTTCATTCGTATACCTAAGTATGTTAACAATTTTGCTCCTATCAGGACACGATAATTTCTGTGAAAGAACATTATTTCATAAAATATGCTTTTTCTAATTTTACTGAACGACTGAAAACATTTTCAGGCAAACCTTAAGTTCATTTTCGTAGGAATCTTAGACAAATATCTAATATAATTATACAAAAACCTAATGTGCAGACATTTCATTTGAATAGTGGATACATAAGTATAATTTGTATTTTCATTTATTCACATTTTTATCGTAAAACCTAATTTGTTGTTGCGAACTTCATAAAAATTCAAGACAGATGGCCGTGGCTATAAAGCCTTGTCCCTTCACAGAAATCAAGGATATGCGTACATTATTGTATCAGCTATGCCTCCTTTCCACACACATAAGTAACGGCAATTCACAACGCCCTCTGGCATAGGGTATAATAGTCGAAGGACGACACGTCGTCGTCCCGTTTACCGTTACCGTAAGCTGCTGCTGCCACTGCCGCTGCTGTTCCTGTCAGCGCCGCCCAGCGTCGCGGCGCGTCCGTCGAGGCGCGTCCTCTAATGCGATACGCATCAATTTATGAAATTTGAAATATTATGACTGATTTTGAGCGAAGCTAGCGATGCGGATGCGGCTGCGAATGCGAGAGTCGAGATGCTATATGCTATATGCCTGGCACGTTTACTTTGGTTACGTTAATCTTGGTAACAGGTCGGGCCATCGAGTCTGTTGGCCGCCTATCGGTCTGTGCAAGGGGGTGTGTGAGCGCAGGGGTGTGGCTGGACGTCGCTTTGTGTGCGGCAGGCATTTAAGGATAACAGATAGACATGCAGACAGTTGAAGGGATAGATTGGCGGCGGGCGTACATAGCCGCAGCTTAGGTGAAAAATATCATATAACTACCGTTATGTGAATTAAGCTGCTCCCAAAAATTGCTGCTATTGCCATTGCCATTGTTGTTATTCTTGTTTTTGTTGTTGTTGTTGCTGTTGGTGCTTGCTGGTGGCAACGGGCGCGGCACCTTTTTTCTCTATTGGTAATTGGAGTAACAAACATGCAACGAAATGAAGCGAGATTTTATGTTTATAGCACGCACACACAATAGCCTCGTTTTATGTGACACACACTCACACGCACACACACACACACACACACACACACACACACTCTCATCCAAATACAAAGCTGGCGATTTAAAATGAAGGTCTCAGCTTGATGGCAATACAGTTTTAATGCCTTCCACGTCCAGGCGACCCGTCGTGCTCTTCACTCCGATGTCCGACTTGGCCTGCATTTCGTACAGCATGCTAGTATTTAGGGTTGATTGTGACACAAAAGGCTCACAGGCTCATCACAATCTGAATGGGATTAGGTCATTTAAATATGCGTACAAATTTATTGTTATTTCATGCATTTTGTTTTTCAATTTTAAGTTTCTCACTCGAACCCTCAGGGGCAAATGGGGCAGATATCAAGCCGACGATTAGAATGTCATACCTGTTTTATTGTTTTTTTTTTTTATTTTTTATTATATATTCCGATTGCGTATGATAACAAAGTGTTTGATTATAAAAAGGAAGCCCTGTCCTATGTATTTATACATACATTAAGCTTATCCCACAGAACGTATTAATTCAAAACTGTTAATATATTAGTGGATTTACCAACGTTGGAAATAATTTTGAATTTCGTCGATTAAATATGCATGTAAATAAAATAAATAAATACTGTAAAAAACCTTTCTGAGAACAAGAAATTATGAAAAAATGCATATACCAAGAGAATTTTAGATCAATTTTGTTTCATTTTATAATATATGGGAAAGTATTTTCAAAAACCCATATGTGTAAATATTATAGTAGTTATATAGGGTACAGATATTACAATTATTTTTTTTTTAAATTAAGTTAAGAATTCGGGTTTTGATTTGTGTTTTATTTTATTGTTAATACCAAGAATTTTAATTATCTTTACCCCGAATTGTATGAGTTTTAATGATTTATAATATAAAGTGTTGTAGTAAAATTGCCATTAGGAAACATCTTTATTTTCCAGTCATTATTAAATGCTTTTTTGACATCTGCAAAAAACCATGCTATTCAGATGTGATAGATTTGTTTCTACAAATACTTTTATATAATTCAATTGAACTTTATCGTCATACACGTTTCTGTAAAGTTCAATTAAAAGCTATTACAATCCCTGTTGTATTTCTGTTTAAAAATTCATTTTAAAATATTGTATGAAGTCCATTGTAAAACATTTCTTTTGAATTTGAAAAAGTAACATATATAAGTAATGTAGCTATCAACTTTTGCCTGCCAGCATTGAAAAACATCAAAGAGTAGATGTGGTAGCTCCAGTCCTGGTAGAAATGGCAGCACTTTTCTAATCAGCTGTTCTACTAGCATGTACTCGTCACTTTTGCGATGACATAAATTTGGAAATTGGTTTTGCACGGCCGCAAAGTATTTTATTTATTGTGTATTTTACCATAATTTAACCCGTATCAAAATTTCTGTTACATAAGCAATAGACATTTAATAATAGAATATAAAGACTAAAACTTAAGGCGAAGCTAGTCTTGCTGGTGGAAAGAGCTGACTCCATAATTTAAAATATCATGAAAATAAATATTTTGTTTGGTATTGGAATGACGCATTGTAATTCAGTTTAAAACTATTTTAAAATGTCTTGTTCAGCCCATCGTAAAACTTGTTCGTTACCAACCTAATCCAAGTTTTCAGTTCAAAAAGAAACAGAAATATGTAATTAAGTACTGTAACAATCAACTATTGTCCGTCGACACCAAACAACACAACAGCAATGTGGCAGCACTTACCAATTGATAAGAGTGGTAGCACTTTTTCCTATCAGCTGTTACTGCCGCAGTTACTCGTCATTTTTTGTGGTGCTGCAGATTTTGGAACATTGTTTTGGAGTTTGATCGCAGCGGAATAGAGAAGCAACAAAATGCACGGCCGCATCAAAGTGCGTACTACGGAGGAGGAGCGGGAGCGCAAAAAGAAGGAGCATGCGTTAAAAGTGCGAGCCTATCGAGCAGCAATGGGACGCATACAAAAAAAACGCGCAGCAGGCGAACTGGAGGATGACGAAATGTTGACACTGACAGCGCAAATCTTGCTCCGCAATCCCGATGTCACTACACTATGGAACATAAGGCGAGAGTGTGTGCTGGCCAAGATTGCGGTGCTAGAAAAGGAGAAGGAGTTGGAGGAGAAAGTGGAACCGGAAGTTGCGCCTGCTGACGCAAAAGAAGATGAATCAACAGTGAACGACGGAGCAGAAGCTGACGATGTAAAAACAGATTCCGCTGTTGGGGCTCCCACACCTCTGCCAACATTAACGATCGCTGAAAAGCTGCAGGCCATTTTTGCCACCGAAATGGGCATCACCGAACAGTGTCTTATGATCAATCCAAAATCGTACAATGCTTGGCATCATCGTTGCTGGACATTGGAGCAGAATCCCCAAGCCGATTGGCAGCGTGAGGTGAAACTGTGCAACACGTATTTAAAGTATGACGAACGCAACTTTCATACTTGGGACTATCGCCGCTATGTGACGGAAAAGGCGCAGATAGCTAAGACGCAAGAGCTGGACTTTTGCACGGAGAAGATTAAGGTGAACTTCTCCAACTACTCGTCTTGGCATCATCGCAGTTTGTTGCTGCCTGTACTCTATCCTTATGAGGGTGAGGTGAGGCCCAAACGACCCATGAGCGAGGCCAAGCTGAAGGAAGAACTGGAAATGGTTCTGACAGCTGCTTTTACGGATCCGAATGACAGCAGCGCTTGGTTTTATCAACGCTGGCTATTGGGAAATGGCTGGCAGCTGGAGCAGCCAACGATTGTCGCCTTTCGTTGTGATGCAGAGAGGGCGGTCTTAGCGTTTAACAAACCAAATCCCCATTTGGGAACCCTACAGCTTGTCAGTGATGGGCAAAAGGTAGAGCTGCAGAATTGGCTGCCCGTAAACGATACGAGGAACATTTGGCAGTGTTCTGCTGAAATCGGAAGCGCATTTGAGCTTACGAAATCTTATGCTCTGCAGTTCGCTGAAAAAAGTCTATCCTTAAACGTGTTGCCAGCTGAAGGACTCTACTACTTTCAACCGCCTAATGCCAGCGCAGCCTACACGAATGAAGTGCTAGGAGAGCTGCAAAGTCAGCTGCAATCCTGTCTGGATCTTTTAGAGTACGAACCCGACAGTAAGTGGACTCTGTTAACCAGCGCTCTGCTCATGCGGGCCATTGATGCAGACAAACATCATGCACAAAGCTTGGAACATCTTTACAAATTGTGGACAATCGATGACTTACGTGCCGGCTACTACAAGGACTTGGCAGCGCGCTGGTCCCTAGAACTTGCCCTGACAAAGTGGCCTCAGAAGTCGGACTTCCCTAAACGCTTTGTGTTAAGCGTAGAGGACGTAGAGCTGGAATCACTGCCCTATGCACAGTATTTAATCATAGCCAATGAACTGGAATTGCCACAAAGTTTAAGGGATAAACTGACTGAAAAGAAGTTGCAAAATTTTGCAAATTTGAAGCTATAAAAATTAAGTAAGTCGAATTGCATTCATCTCATGCCAAACATGACTAAGGTTTTATCTTCTCCTTTTTGACAAGGATTCCTAATCCTCAACATTCTAAACTGACAAGCCGTGGAGCTCGCAATCAACAGGCCTTAGTCCCTCGAGACGATCAACAATTCTAAAAAATAAACTATGCAACGAGATAGTTTTGAGCCAGTTAAACATTCACTAGTAGTTTATAATTATTTATAGATACTTATATTCAGGGCATTTTTGTGCATGTATTATACACTATATTACTAAAGCATATGCATACTGATGTATGCAATTAATAAACAATGGTTTATCACAATCAAAATACGAAATAGAATCAACAACGAGTGAGGCACAAAGGAATGAATCATCTGAAGATTATATATTATCGTCACTTTGACTCATACCCCCTGCAGTTTCACAAACAGGTGTTACAAGTTTTATTTCATATTTTCAAACGATTTTATGTTTCAATTTTAGCACTAGATTTTTATAAATTAATATATTGCTTTTATTAATTGAAGCGTTTGAAAACTTTTGTGAAACTTTTTGGTTCTTCAAATATTTTGGTTCCCGCCAAACCTCTTTATCTGTACATTTTTGTTGCACGTGTTTTAAGTTGATCAATTCTGAGGGTTTTAGATTTAATCATAGCTTAATTTTTTTGCCTTATTCTGAGCGCTTTAGTTTTATAAATGATTAAATGCCAAACATACATTACTTATTACATGTCTACGTCGGATATTTGCTGAATATGTCTGACAATATTGAAGTAATTTGCTTGGCTTAAAAGACAAAGTATGATCTTATATGTATTAAATCCCTATCTTCTACTAATAATTGGATTCGACCATATTTTAGTTTTGCTTTATTGCGTGCTCGATCCATTGGTATGGAAATAAAGGCACCGATTATAACGAACCTATAAGTGAATTAATGAGCGACTACTTACTAGAAATAATGTGGAAAACAGGCGACAACCAAATTACTACTTTTGATAACTCATATCATTTAGATAATTTTACGTTCTACACATTTTTTTGTTGGAAATTTGTCTGGATATTATTAAAGCTTTACCATTTAAAATAAATTGGCATACATACGAAAACAGCATTTTTAATCCCGAACATATGGTCGTTATTTTTCTGAACGCATTAAAAATGGATGCTTTTTACCTTGATTGTGTATTTTTTTGGAAACATAGCAAATAAAACATTTAAACGTTTGCCATTTTCATTCCAAGTAATAACTAGCACAAATTTAAGAAAATGCCGCAGAAAACATCACATTAAATATTAAAATATTCGTACATGGATGCCTTTTAACATTGAAGAAAACTGTTTCCGGAATTAAACAAAAAATTTTAACTTTCTTATTGTCCAAACACTAATATAGTATGTATTGATTTTTAGGGCAAGAAACTCTTGATTTACAAAAAACCATGTTCATAATAAGAAATAAACCCTATTAATAGATAAATTATATTCCTTAAGTTTGAAGAACGTGTTTTTAAAACAACAAAAGAAAACCATTTAAAATGGAATTATGTAAATGGTAAACATAATTAATGCTTTCGAAACAATGTGGAAAACGGAATCGGCGTTCCTGGAGTTTTTTCAAGAATACCAAATGGATTAAGTGTGTCGACCATTGTGCACGTATAAAACCAAAATTCGTCACCAAATAATACAAAAAAAAGCTGTCAATATGCAAGTGTTGGACGCCCTCAGACGTTTATTGATCTGCTACTATGAATATATTGATGGCTGACGTGAATTGACCAGAATAGCACAAAAAGCTGCACGAGTCGCAGGCGGTCAACCAAAGCGTTGCTAGATTTGCGGTTTTGGTTGCTTCGTTGTGGCGGTTGCATAAATTATGCATTCAGTGCTCTGTCACAGACAACGTCAACACAACGCCAACAGCTGCTGCAGTTGCAGCAAAAGCAGCAGCAACAACTACAACAGCAACAGCAACACATCTGACGGGCGCATGTCATTACGTGCCATCTGGGCGAACGCTTTGATGGGAGTGTGAAAGGTATTGGCTTGAAAACGTGACGACATGCAAAAGCCGCCAATGTCGCCATCTTCAGCGTCTCTTCATCGTCATCGTCGCCATCGCCATCGCCATCCCTGCCACTGGCCCTAAACTCCCGGGCGTTGAAGTGCTAATGCAGACCCGCGGCGCTGCAAAACCTGCTGTTGTAGATGCTTCTGTTGCGTTGTCTGATATATGTATGTATGTACGTATGTATGCTTAGGCTAGTGGTGGTTGTGGAAAATACATATAATGATCACGAATACTGAATTTTATTGTCATACGAATTATTTTAAGGAAACTCTTAGGCTAAGCTTGTGTTATTTTACAAATAGACTTTGCAAGTGAAGAAGTTTGTCATATCAGAAAACTACATTTAACAATATAAATCTAATTTGTTTTAGTGTGATTTACAAACATAAAGTAAACGAATTAATTCAAATTTTATTTTCTTAGTAAAATAAAAAGCATGCAATTTTTATAAAAAGTGAAAACTGTTTTTGTAGGAAAGAGACATAAGTAAATATACAGGATATAAACCAATAAACCAAATTCTAAAACGAAAATACAAAAGACAGAAGAAACAAATAAAAACATTTTCGAATCTCGAAAAGAATGCAATTGTTTGTTTTATCGACGCCACTTGAAGTATAATTTTAACATGATAATTTAATTTTCATTTGTAAAAAATATGTAGATATGGAGCAAAAAAAAAAACAGAGCACTATGACAAAAATTAATAAACTGAATAGACAGTACAGAATAAAAATTAGTGTACTAACCTTTCAAGACATTTTATAAATCTACAAAATCCCCTGCGAAAATGTAAGAAATGTTTTGTTTTCCAATTCCTTACAATATCGCTTAGAAGCTTACTAATGTATTCATATTACCTTTAAATATATTAATGCCATGCGGAAGGTACCAAAACTATTATTAATTGTGAAAAATCTGATTAGTGGAGGAGAGAAATATTCTAAACACATTTTATAAATTATTTTGACAGCCCTAATAGCTAGCAGATAATTAAAGATGTTTATTCAAGAACAATTTGCTATTCACCCCGTGACTGCGTTATCAGTCTATTTGCACGCATCGCACCTCAAAGCAGGTGTCACCTGACTGCCAAATGCACGCTCTCACACACACACGCACACACACGCCTCCACTTAAAACTCATAACACACTCAAACACATGAACACGTGGCGTATGCGTAATGTGTGCATTGGAATTTAGTGCATCTGCTGCTTGAGGGGGCTCCATATGGACATGCATGGCTTATAAGTATATTTATACTACATTGATATACATATACACATATATACACTTATTTATATGTGTGTGTGTTTGTGTGTCTGAAGGCGTTTGCATATCATATCAGCAACGCCTTGGCATTCAAATTTCCGCCTCAACGCCAGCCACATGTATGTATGCCAACCCACACCTCCCCCCACTCTGCTTCCGCAGGGAATGCTTAATTATGTCACTGTCATTTCTTGCAAATATTTTGAGACGAGCTGGAGCAACAGGAAAACGTGATGTTGACAGGCTGGCGCTCATTAAAATGTTTGGCCAATTATTAAGTCGATTGTAGATGTTGAGTAAGTGAGAGGAAGGATATGCTCGCATGTGCATACTTATCGAGGTCTGCCCGAAGTGCATGTTTCAACTTAATTAATGAGACAAGTCAATGGGGAGCGGAAATGTGCTTGGTCAGGCAAACAGACGGACTGCAGACCCGACTGGCGACTGCTATGTAACTGAATTGTCGGAGTAAACGAACCACAAGAGCATTTGCAGCCTGACCAATTTTGTGGCAGTTGACGATGCAAAGATGAAAGATTAAATGCCAAATGCCATTTGTGTGCAGCAATCTAAATGATGCAGATGAGTGACATTGATTTACTGAAAGCTCTAACCAAACTATGCAGCATTAACGCCAAAGACTTTTACGGCACATGAAGAAAGGTTGTTACACCTCTGCAATTAAAACTTTAATTTTTAAACGGTTTCCTACACAATATAAGGGAGATCTGTTGGGAGAGCTCTTAAGCTTGAAATAAGTTGGTGGAGTGCTAGAAAGTGACCCGCAATAGATGTAGCCTTTATTTTCAGTAAGTAAGACTTATTTCATGCCATTGTGGAATGAGAATGCATATTATTTTAATATCTATTATATGCAAGCAGAGTTATATACGAGTACAACACTTTATACAGACGTCGAAGGAGTCTGAAACTCATGACATGTTGCCTATCCGAGAGATGCTAAATATTTGTGGGATGGGGGTTGAATAGTATATTCCAAAGGAAATACAATTTTAATAAAGTGCCAAAAATATAATTTAAGAAATAACAATTTTATGCACAATTTTGAATCATACAGCACAAAAACACAGTAAAGTGCTATCATTAAACCGATCTAAAACCTAACCCGATTGCCTTAATATTCCTTGTAGGCGCGTGTATACGTCTAGAAACATTTACTATAGTTCTGCACAAGAAGCAAACGCTCTGCCGCCACACACTTCAGCATACATTCACACACTCACTCACTCTCAGGCAAAACTTTAATTGCCTTTTGGCCAGAAAACTTTGGAAAATCTGCTGTGCATTTTGTTAACATTTCCTGTGACTTTTAACGCCAATGCAGCTGCCGCTGCAGCTCTAGCTTCTCCACCAAAAATGTCGCTTCCATTCACCCCTTGGCTGACAACGATGAAGCAATTGCAACTTTGTTGTTCTGCCTATTGTTTTTGTTTTTGCTGGTGCTGGAGCTGTTGTTGTTCCTTTTTTGTGTATACCCTTTTAATTGCCCATTGAAAGTTGTTCACTTGTTAAAATGAACTTTTGCCTTTTGGGCGGTCGTTGTCCTCATCGTCCTCATCGACATTGTCGCCAACATCCTAGCACGCCCACAGCAAAATTTTCAGTCGAGTAGACGCCTCTGCATGCGAATGTGGCAAGTTTTAAGTGAAGTTGCAAGGCAACAAGCGTGAATATATGTGTTGCGCAATTAAAATTGCTGGCAAAGCGGCTTAAAGTCTCGAATAGACGATTGAATTTCCAGCAAACAACTTTCAAAGTTTTCCAAGCTGAGCTGCAAAACTTAACCAGGTGTTGAGCGCTTTGTGGCTTGGGCGAAGCCTTAATGAGTTTCCAAAGTGTATCCGAGAGCGTCATAATTGTGGCACAAATTGAAGTTACAGGCTTGGCGAACAATTTCCAATAAGTAATTTGTCGGAAATATGCGAGGGTACTTATTCACGAAAGAGTGCACCAGTTGC